CTGGCTCCCTCAGACGACCGGGGCCTCGGCTGGATGTTCAGGCCTCTCTCCATGGTTCTGTCATCCTCAGAACCTCAGAGCCTCGGGGAGGGGGGCTGCTTCACACATTGGTCCCAGGGTTCCAGAGGGTGAGATTAGAAGCTCTGGAGACTCTCGAAACTGGGGCTCAGAACTGCACGTGTCCCTCTGCCACCTGCCGGTGGTTCCAGCAGGCCACAGGAATCGTGGGATAGGCAGAGAGACTTCACTTGTGCTCGTCTCAAGCGTGTCGCAGTTGTCCTAAGAGAGGGAAGCTGGCTTCCTGGAGGGAGAGGAGGACCGCGAGGCTGTGCTCAGCGTTCAGCTGAGGTTCGTGGCCAGTGACTGGAAACGAGTGGCTTTCAGGCCGGCTTGCGCGTAGCAGCTTTCTCTCTGGTGCAGCAGCCTGACCCAGTCACGAACGTTTATCGGGCACTCTGCTTCATACGACATCTTGTGTGACACTCACACGACCCTGCGGCACACGCAGAGACGCAGAGGTTGGTGGAGGTGGGGCTGAGCTCCGGGCCAGGCAGCTGCATCTGGAGGAGAGGCCGGTTCTCCTGTGTGACTCTGCGACTACAGGAGGTCCCCCGGGCAGGCCCCGGCCAACGCCTCCCCGCAGGAGGCCAGTGTGTTCATCCCTGTGTGCAGGGATGCCCCAAGGCCCAGGCCAGTGAGCCGCCCTGTCCTCTGTGGAGAGGAGGCCCTGGGCCCATGCACTGCCGGGCGTGTCCCTCACGGCGGCCCGGGCGGCCCCTCCAGGACCTGTCTTCTCCGCTGGGGTCAGGCTCCTTGGGCGGGACTGTGTGTGTCCCACTCTCTCTGCTCCTTGTGGCATAGACCAGGCCCGGTGGCCTCATCTGGGCTGCTGTCGACATTCAGACCTTTCCGAGCTCTTCGGGAACTTGACTCCCACCTGTCAGCCCACCGACTGCTCCATTTTCTCTCATCGAGGTACAATTCACATACCATAAAATCTACCTTTTTAAAGTGTACATACAGGTCAGTGGCCTTTAGTATATTCACAAGTTTATGCGCCATCACCACTGTCTAACTCCACAACGTTTCATCACCCCACAAAGAAACCCATTGCTGCATTTTGAAGACTTGCACCTCAGGGCTTCATTTACTCTCAAGACAAGACCCAGCTCTTGTCCCTTTCCCTGCTGTGCCAGGTGGCCCTCCCTGGGCAGTACCTTCGTGTCGTCGTCTTCCGTCTTCATCATTTCTTCTACATCTCCTTTCATACCTGTTTTCTTTATTGACTGGGCCAGAATCTGGTGTCACGTGGAAACTGAGAACAGTGACTTTGCTGTCAGTCAACCTGGGTCCAAGTTCTAGAACGGACATTGATTAACTTTGTGGCCTTGGGCCAGTCCTGGTGAACCGGGTTGGTGCTTAACTGCCTGCCCTGCTAGGTGCCCTGAGCTCGTGCAGGAGTGTACAGCCTTGCAGTGGAACACTCCCAAGGGCGGCTGAATCCTGCGTGCTAACCTTAGAGGTGTCTGTCCTGTGACCCAGCACTTCCCCATCGAATAAAAGCTGAGAAACACACTGCGCTAAAGGGTGCATATGCAGAATGTTCAGGTAGTCCAGTCTGCGGTGGTGATAAATCAGAAACATCTTCACAGTACCTCGGTAGGGAAGTGGGCAAAAAATACCTTTTTATATAAAGGAATAGTGCCTACCGTATTTAAAGTGAGCTTACAATGATTGGAGAGTGTCTGTGTATGTTTTAAAAGTATTTAAATATATTCTTAAAACAATACACCACCTATAGATACACGAGTAGTGAAAGAAGTGAAAGTACGGACACTGCAAGTTCACGATCGTCTTTGAGGGGGAAGAGTTTAGTGGGTGGTGGGTTCCTCAATGTATTTGAATTTTTTTTTTAAGTAGAAGAGGTGAACAAGTGTTAACAATCATTAAATCTCAACATATGGGTATTATACTCTTCTCTGGACCTTTTTATATTTAAATTTTTTTTATAATTCAAAATAAAAAAATATATTTGGAACCAGATTATTATAATGTGATTCTCGAACAGAGGTGTAAACAGATTGCTGAGAGCGTGGGGAGGAACAGGAGAGTTCGACACATGCGGTCGTGGTTGAATTTTGAACTTGAAGAGCAGGCAGGACTTTGCCAAGTAGGGCAGGTGGGAAGAGGTGTTCCCGGCAGAGGCCTAAGCCCTGAGACGCTTGTCTGTGAGAAGGGGCCGAGAGAGTCAGGGTCGGAGAGGAAACCCCGCTCAATGTGGAGGCGTCCAGGAAAAGTGCAGTGTGGTCTTTGTTCCCTTTTCCTCTTTTTCTGCCTTTTTTGGATTGAGTATTTTTATGATTCTATTTGGGTCTTCGCGTATCTTTCATATCTCCATTTAACATGTCTAATCTTGCTTTGCCTCTGGGTTTTTGAAGATACGGAGCGCGGTCATTACAACTGTTTAGATGTCCTTGCCTACGAATTCTATCACCTATGTCATTTCTGGGTTGGTTTTCATTGATTTTTCTCTTCATCGTAGTTTGTGTTTCCCTGCTTCCTGGAATGTGTCGTAATTTTTGGTAGGATGTCAAGACACTGTGACTTTATCTTGTTGGATGCTAGGGATTTTTGTATTTCTCTAAACATTCTTGACCTTTGTTCTGGGATGTAGTTAAATTACTTCAAAGTTTGATGCTGGTGGGTCTTGCTTTTAAGCTTTGTCAGGTGGGACCAGAGTACTGTTTAGTCTAGGGCTAATTTTGCTCCAGCCCGAGGTAGAAGTCTTCTGAGTACTTGTCCCTTGCCCCAAGAATCAGGAAGTTTTCCACCGCGACTGGGAGGGAAATAGTGTCCCCGGCTCCGTGTGGGCTCCCAGGATCGTCCCCGTTGACCCTTTTGAGTGGTACTTCCCCTGGCTCAGCTGTGCGCCTCACCCACGTCTCAGCGCAGCGCTGTCCCCTCCCGTGTTCTGCGCTGAGCGCCAGTGCCTTGGCCTCCCGGGTCTCCTAGCTCTGTTTCTTCAGCTCGGGGGATGGCGAGACTCCACCCACTCCCCCTCAGGGGCCGGAACTTCTTTTTGGGCAGACAGCTGGGCCGTTAGGGGGCCTGTCTTGTTTCCCCTCCATCAGAGATCACTGTTCTTCATTGCTGACACCTAGTGTCTTGAAAACTGTTTCTTATGTTTTATCCTTTCATTTTTTAGTTGCAGGTGGGAAGGTAAATCTGCTCTCTGTTGTTTTATCTTGGCCAAGAGCAAAAGTATCAGAAACAGGTTTGAGAATGAAGGTTTAAGGTGGCCTCTAAAATAGCCATGGGACCCATGAGAATACTGACCCCCTTCCGATTGGGGTGCCTGGGAGAGAGAGCACACATGGCCTTTTCCTGGGTGGGCATCGAGGGAATTCATGTGTTTAGAGAAGGAGATGGTGATAGGGCTTGGGAGAAAGGTTCTGTAGAGAAACGCAGAGCTAGGAGTGAGATCCTGAGGGCATGGTAAGCAGACAGACCCGCCATTAGTGACTGACAGGGTCTGGGCTGGAGGACACAGGTGACAGAAGGCTTGTGTCCTGCAGTGGAAAGGTGCGGGAGAGGGTGACATTGCCAGGGAATGCGTCTGGGGTGCTCAGGATAGGCGCTTGTTACTGAGAGGGCATCACTCATTCCCTGGCTGCATGTCCTCCCGATGTCTCTGCTGTTCGGGGCCACAGGTCCACTGTTCCTCCAGCTCCTGCTGAGCGGAGTGTGTCAAGGAGATTTCTTTCTGTCCGCCATCAAAGCCTTGGTTCAGAGGTGAAGGAAACAGGCCTGAGGTCAGCCTCACAGCAATACGTCCTCATTTGAAAATTGTGTATAAAGTGTTAGAAAGCTAATTTTGAATTATGAACTGTTGGATGTAACAAGTTTACCTACTTTGGAAGGTGACAGTGTTGACTTATTCCTGGCTTACCAGCCCAACTTTTATTGCCTTTTTTTGTTTGATTTTTACATGAAATTTAAAAATACACAAATATAGAGAAAGCATTATAATAAACACCCATGTACTCATCGCCCGGCTTCAACAGTGATCAGCCAGTTTTCTTCATCTGTCCCTTTCCTTCTCACTTTTAAAATTTGTTTGGTTATTGTTTTTTTGACGGAGTATTTTTAAAGCAAATCCCAGAAATAAAGTCATTTCACCATGAATACTTCACTTTTTCTAATAATGGGAAGTTTTTAGCTTTTAAAAACATAGCTACCATTTCGTTACTACAACTAAGAGAATGCACGGTGATTTCTCATATCATCTAATACCAGTTTATATTTGGGTTTCCCCAGCATCTTCAAAAATGTTTTCCAGTTGATTTGTTCTAATTGGAACCAAACAGGATCTAAATATTACTTTTGATGATCATGTGTCTTAAGTCTTTTATAATCTAGAACAGTACTCCTTTCTATTGCTAAAGTATAATTTTCAAAGGTAAAATCATGACTTCATGCAAATACAGTGTGATCGGTCAGCTCCAGGCTTCACCTGTCCATGATTTGGCTGTAGACCTCGGCGTCAGTCGTGTACCAAGGAGTACTGATCACTTTGACCACTTTGTTTGGAAATGGTGCTTAGAGATCACAGCTGGAACACTTTTAGGTTCTTTTCTTTTAGAAGTTGTGCTGGATTATCAGTCACCTTGTGACCGGTCACCGCGTGACCAGGGATATGCCTTTCCTGAGGTGATAGTGTATAGTTGTGGAACCGAACAACTTCGTGGAGACCCTTCTCACGTCCCCAAAGTCTTTAGTGTGGCGTTCTGACCACTGAGCTGGTTAACCAGATGCAGAAGGGTGTATGTTGTTGGTCCCAGTCTCCAGAAAAGCAAAGTTTTAGTTCCTTAATCATGAAATGTTCTCATCATTTGAATACTAAATAAAGGTACTGATTTTTGCTTTCCTCTTCTCTACCATTTTGGTAAGTTACCTTTACAGAGGCAGAACTTAAAATAAGTTTTTTCCCTTTTATTTTTCAGGTGAAGAAATTATAAACCTTATACTGAATGAAAAAAATTTTCTTAAAGTTGCATATACTCCAAGAAAAAACCCTAAATGTTTTCATATTTTGCCTGAATATAAAATTTAAACAAGAAATTTCCACAGAAGGTAAGGTAGTTTTCTTTTTGATTCTGCTTTCCTGTGTAATTTGTGCAAATATACTGTATAAGTGGAAGTTCAAAGATGGATGACAGCAAAAATTTAGTTTCAAAGGGTGCCTATAGTCCATTGTCTTTTGGTTGTGTTTTGATCCCCGAGTCTGCTTTTGAGGCGCTGCGTTGTGGAACACTTACTTGGTCTCTCCAAGCCAAAGTGGAGTCCACATAAAATGGGGACAGTTGTGCATGTGTAGTGAGGCACACATGCGATAGGGCATGGCACTGTCATGGTCGCCATCCAGAACACATACCATGCTGACAATCAGCAAGGGAAGAGGGGTTTGCATTGGATGCGCCTGAAGAGCTCTCGCATTGCAATCCAGATAACTCTCCAAAGGCTAAAAGAGAAAAATAAAAGAAAAAGGAACAGCAGGCCTTGGGCTGGCACGCCTTTGCTCCTTGCTGAAGAAAACGTAAATCCTCTTCAGAGGAAAGCATGCACAGTGGAGGCACTCGGGGGTCCTAGAGATTACATGGGAGCAGCCTTCGAGCTTACAGTCAGTGCACACACCGTCATGAGGAAGAGGTAGCATAATTAGGTGCCTCAAGGCCTGCACGTATTGAATAATCAGATGTAGTACATATAATAATACGTGACATGTTTGATGAAGTACAAAGTAGAGTGAAAATTAGTAATGAAAAGCTAAGTATCAAAATCCAGGTAGAACTTTCAGAAATGAAAAAAACGTTGAAATTAAAAACTCAGTATATGTGGATTAAATGGATTAAACATGGCTGAAAATAGAATTAGTGAACTGGAATACGTATCTGAACTTACCCCGTGTACATCGCTGAGAGATGGAAAATGGAAAATGAGATTACGAGAAAATGGAGGATTGAATGAAAATGTGCAGTTGGAATCCCAGAATGGAAAATAGAGAAAATTGAAGAGGGGTGTTGTAGAAAGAATTAATAACTTCGACAGAAACTAATGAAGATATAAATACATAGGTTTAAGAAGCACACTGTGTCCCAAGAAGTATAAGAAGAAACATGTACCCCTATGCTGAAATTGTATAGCATCAAAGACAAAGATCTTAAACCAGAGATAAAAGATAGATTACCCACAAAGGAACATCTGCTAGATGGACAACAGGTGTCTTATTAGCATGAATAGAAGCCAATAGGGAGTGGACTCATTCTTCAAAATGATGAGGGAGTATAAACTTCACTGTAAAGAATTGTGAATCACGTATATTTTGCAAGAAAAACAGCAGTGTCTTCTGTTTTTGATAGTGTTGGGCTAGGTTTTTTAGACTATCTTCTATTCCCCTCCCCTGTTGCGGAAAGCAACTAAAATTGTTAGATTAAAACAAAAAATCGTCTACAGCCATGCCACCCTGAACACGCCCGATCTCGTCTGATCTCGGAAGCTAAGCAGGATCGGGCCTGCTTAGTACTTGGATGAGAGACCACCTAGGAAGACCAGGTGCTGTATGTGATTAAAAAAATAAAATAAAATTCAAAGAACTGACAATAGAAGCAAGCAAGTTCCAGACCAAAATATAACAATAAGAACCCAGAAAGGTAATTTAAGCACCATAGGATGGAGTCTGCCTTTCCCTGAGGGCATTCGGTGACCGGGATTTTAGAGGCTGGTGGAGTAAGAACAGTTGGGGTCTCCAGTCCTCTTGAAGCAGAGATCCTGAAGGAGGCTGTCCCTGAAGGGCTGTGTCTGTATCAGAGAGAGGGTGAACTGGAAGCAGGCCTGCCTCTGTCTGTCTTTGCCCCCACCTCATTGTCTTTACTAAATGTAGCAGGAAGAAGTCGGGGTTGAGGGCGGCGTCTGTGGCTCTGGGTTAGCCTCCGTGAGGATTTATAGTCCAGGTTCGCACTGTCTAGTAGTTCAGGGCAGTCAGGCGTGAGTTTTGTTGCAAGTTTTCTGGTTTGGCAATGCCTTTAGGCATCCCACAAACAAAACCTCTCTGGAGGAAGTTAACTTTGTCCTAATGTGAAAAAAAATCCTTACAGGTCTTTTAAGGATGTTGGTTAGTACACAGACAAAACTGACCGAGCACATGGGAAATAAAGCACACACGTGAAAACCAAGAAATAGAGCCTCCAAGACTTCAGATTTTGGAATGATGAGAAACAGAGTAGAAAACAAGCTTGTTCTTTATTCCTAAAGAAATAAGCATAACTGTAGAAAACTATGAAAGGTGAACTATCATCTTTGGAAAAGAACCAAATGGAATGTCTTATGTTTTTGGTTACGTGTCAGGCTGGGTTTGGGCTACCTGGTCTCGTTACTAATCGCATGCCCTTTCATCACGAGTCTCTTTGGAAGCCTCATTCTGCTATTTTCTGGAAAGGGTTGATGCACTCTTGTTTAGTTTTTTTGTGTTTTGTTGTTGTTTGAGTTACTCGTATTTTTACCAATACACAACTCCAAGTCGAGGAGTAGCATCTCACGACGGTGGAGAAAGCTTGCTTTTCTCTGGTAAGTAAGTACATGGTGGTCAGGAAGGAGCCCTAGCCTGCCCCGGGGGCCATGCTTCTGCTCTTGGTGGGTTCGGTGGCCACTCTTCCCGCAGGGGAGAACAGCATCCAGCCCGCTTAGCCCCCCGTTCCTTGCTGTGCTGAAGACCAGCAGCCCTATGGGCCTCTGCTTTCCCACCACTGGGAAAGAGAGGCCAAGCACTAACACCGATTTTAAAGGGGGAGGCCACAGACATTTGTCGAGCTTGTAATGTGTGTCAGTGACATTTTTTCTTCATTCAGCAAATTCAGATATTGGTTGAGAACTTGTCATATGTCAGGTGCGTTACTTAACTGCTCTGTAACCTTTTGAAGACAATGTGACCATTCTACAGGTGAGAAGGCTGAAGCTCAGGGAGGTTAAGAAACCTGCTCAGATTGTGTTAAGGTATAGCCTGTGGCAGAGGGTCCTGAAGGACGGAGGCCTGAGCAGTTGGTCTGGCAGTGGCCTTCCCCACCTGTGCTTGCTCTGGCTTTCGCCATCTCCCAGCAGGGAGGAGGGCCAGAGGGACCCAGGAGCGCACCCCTAGTCAGGCCTCGAGGTTCCAGCTTCGCTTCCATGCTCACCCCTTTGCCCAGAGCTCAGCCACGTGACTATGGCTGGCTGCGAGGGGTGGCTGGCAGAGTTAGGCTCCGGGAGGCACCAAGCACCCAGCTAAAACTATTGCTGTTGAAGAAGGGGAGGATGAAAACGGGACAGCTAGAATCCCTCCCACGCCTGTCGAGTCACACAGGTGGGAGGTGCGGGCCCAGGCCCCGCGTTCCGTCTGCGCGGCCCCTGGCCCTGCCCGCCCACCGCGCCACACTGCTGGCTGTGGAACTTCAGCACATTCATCTGCTGGTCGATGTGCTGAGACCTCAGAGGATGCCATCGTCAGGCCTGCACGTCAGGCCTGGAGCTGCGACCCAGTGATACGAGGGGCTGAGGGAGCGCCGTGTCCTAAAGGAGCTCACGGTCTGTGCTGGCAACAGGCGCACGCATGGTCGTCCAGGTGGAGCCCTCAGGGTGGGAGCCAGGCCTTGTTCTGAGGGGCTGGCTTTGCATTTGCACAGGGCTTGGTGGACGGTACGTTTCCAGCAGCCTTGGATGGTTCACGCTGCTTTGAATGCGTGAGCGTCGGCTTGTGTAAATTACTGTTTTATAATCCTTTAGGTTACCTCTGTGTTCGTGGTCATTTCTTCTTTCTACTTCTGGTTTTGCATTTTCATTTATCTGTCCTCCCACTGTGGTCACCTGCCCTTTTTAGAATTAGGCCTTTTTTTTGGGTCTTTCTACCCCCGCATTGGACTGCGCCCAGTACAGACACGGTCTGGCTTGTTGATAGGTCAGTTGTTAGATAGTCTCTGCTTGCCAGACTCACATCACCATTCCTTTCGGGTCGGAATCCCAGTGGTGCACTGGTAGTTGTTTGGTCGCAGGGCCTCGCAGGGAGGAAGAAAACCTCCTGGTTTGTGGCGTCTCAGTTTCCACAGTGCACATTTGTCTGTCACATCCAACCTAAGCTTCCGGTCTGATGCCCCCGGAGGAGGGGTTGGGGAGGCACAGTCAGCTCTTAGGAGCCGTGCACGCCAGTCCGGCCAGCGCTGTGCCCGTCCTCTGCAGCAAGGTGACCTTGTCTGTGTTTCCTTCTCTTCTTGCAGTCAGGATCTTTGAGGACAAAATGTGCCGGCCTCTGTTCTAGGCTCTTTATGGGAGAACTCAGTTAATCCTCACAGCAGCTCTGAGACAGGGATGCTCACAGGTCCCAGTTTACAGGTGAGGAAACCAAGGCACAAGAGGTCACATAACTGGCCACAGGTCACATAGCAGATCCAGGACTTCGATCATAAATCTTAAAAAAAAAAAAACCCAACCCAACTGATCTGCGGCCATATTGGTACTAGATGCATTTCAGATTCTGACTTTTCTTAGCAATAGTCTCTACCTCAGAATGTTTTTCTGTGAAGAGCTCTGCTCATGGAACTGATCATATGGGCACCATTTCCCTTAGGAACCTACCTTCTGTCAGAGGATTATGCTAACTGGGACAAGGAACTAGGGAAGCAGAGCTTCAAGTCCCTTGCGTTGGCTGTTGGATAGCGTCTGGAAGATGGTGGTGGTTCTTTGCTCCACATTCTAGTAGACTGGAGGGCAGACGGCATTTCAGGGTGTGGCAGGGATCCCGACCTCTCAGGTTAACACACCGACTACGAGCAATGAGCCGCGATTTGTGCTTCGGATGCTGTCAGTGCTGGGCCTTTGGGTCACCTGGGGAAGCGGAGTGGGAGCCTTGCCCATGGGCGCGGGCCAGCTCGGAAGAGGCGGGGTTTCCGTGGGAGCTGTGAGGAGTTGCTAGGTTATGAAGAACGTTTGAGAAAAAAGTACGCCGTATTATCTGAGCAGAAGTTCTAGAACCGGCTTAGAAAAGTTCCTTTGACAGTGAGATTAGCTGCAAACTAAACCAGTGCCATCGTGATGAACTTTTTAAAGGC